TTATTTATTTTTAATTAAAATAATTTTTTTATTTATTCATTAAATGTAGAGTAGGTAAAAATAAAAATTGTACTTAAATTTTTAATTTGAAAATAAAATAAAATAATATTCATTATTTTGGGACAGATGGAGTATTTGACCTTTTTTTTTTGAGTTTTTCTATTTCCATATGCAATAATCTAAAATTTGAGACTCATTAAATAAATTTATATTTTTAGTACTCTAGTGGCCCTCAATTATTAATATCACATTTTTTTATTTTAATTGATTATTATACCTTTTAATTTATTAAAAAACAAAAAGGTGTAAATTTTTTTAAAAAACATAATATGAGGATATACTAAGTAATTATATTAAAAAAATGTGATATTAACTATTTAAGGTATACTAAGAACCCACCCACTACTACGGCATAGATAGCAAAATTAAATTTTTGAAGAAGATATGGAAAGATCTACGTAAATTTAAATCCTTCCGTTTCAAATAGGAGTACATATTTATTGTAGTAGGATATATAAATATTTGATAACTTTTATGAGTTTTTTTTTATTTTTAAAAAATATTATAATTATAATGACATTATTTTTATAATAAACATATAACATAATATGTTATTATTAACAAATAATATTAAAATAAAATAGCCAAGGACAAAAAAAACCAATTGTTAGACGTGATCGCACTATCTTTATGACATTAAAATACCTTCAGAATACAATAAAATTGAAAACTAAAATCTCTCGATTATAGATGTGAGGGAATGACTAATTAGATAGAATAGTAAATGTATTCTGAAAATCTCTATTTGTAGTGTCCGAAAAAACATGCTGCATATCCATTTGTGCCTTTTGGCTTGCAACTTTAGCATATCTAAAGGTACCTTTTAATTCAACAGGGGGTACCTTCACTGTTTCGGCTGAATTAATGCTACATTTATACAGTTTAGTTCCCTTTTAAATAAAATTTTAAAATTAAATTTTGTAAATAAAAAGACAGGTGCTACATGAGCTTCTCCATTGTAAATATGATATGATTCGATTTTAAATTAATTAAAATTTAATATAATTTTTGGATATAAAAGGATAAGTACCCAAAAAAAAAAAAGGAAAATGGAGAGAAAAGAAAAGTAGAGAAGACAATGTTAACGGTATTAATATTTTTTCGTTGCACATGTGATAAGTTGACTATCATTTAGCTAAAATGTGTCTTTTTTCGATGCAGTGGAGAAGATAAGATTAACGGTGTTAAGCCTTTTAATTTTCCTAATTAAGAAAAAAAATCATAAATTTAAAATTAAAGTAATTCTTACCAAAACGGACATGTCTTCCTTCAAATCTCAATTTAATTTACTTAATGTTTTAAAACTTAATTTGGTAACTGACCCGTTTTTAACCTCTGTTCTAATTCAAGTGGTTTAATTGCCTAGTTCTATCTATTAATGATTTTGCAGAAATCATGGAACCCCTTCATGTTATCATCAATGATTTTGCAGGTCACGTATGGATTGTCCTTTTGAATCGTTACTTCGGCTTCTGACCATTTCTTTCCAACCAATTCCGGCCACTCGTACTTATATTCTAAAAACGATTTAAAAAAATATACATAATTAAACATATATATAGCATGTTTAGATGAGAATGAGACTAGAGATGCCATGAAAATTGTTTTTTTTCTTAATGAACTTAGCTAAAAAAATTAAAAATAAATGGAAATAATATAGAGATAATTTTTGTATAGAATTTTTATATGTTATTAAAT